AACAGCAGTTGCAATTTTAAATATTTAATCTTTAGCAGCGATGCTAAGGTTCCGTCCTTTCAAAAATCCAAACGTTTGGGCGATGCGCCAAACGCTTCCCTGGCATATTCGTGCAGTCTGGCAAGCCAGCGGGACGAAGCGATGGTGAGTGCCCTTTAAGAAAAGTTCCCTCTCGATTTTTCTAATGTAAAAAGCGTTTTTTGTGGCAAATTTCAAATCAAAAAATAATTTTTAAAATTGATCAGAAAACAAGAAGTGTAAAATTTTAAAAAGTTTAGATTTCTAAAGCATCAAAAGTCAAATTTAAATAAATCGAATAATTAATTAAAACCTATTTTTCTTCGAAATTATTGGTAAATTTAAGCTTTTATTAAATTTTATTCTGAAAATTTTTTGAAAAAACCTAATTTAATATGGAAATCGCCTAAGACGCACAACACAAAATAAAGCATTCTCTTTCCACTTTTTTATTTTTTCTATTATTTTAATTACAAATAAAATGCATAAATAAAATACATCCCGCAAATGATTAAAATACACAATAAAAATTTTTAGCAGAAACCATTGACGAAACAGCGGCCACAAAATTTGACGAAAGTACAAAACGCGGTCGCAGCCCAGTTTTGCCTTCTGGAAATAAATTTTATTGAAGGATTTAATGAAATTTTCTGCCTAAAATGCGTAATATAGGATAAAATTTTAGATATTTTTTAAATATTTACTGTTCTACCACACTCACATTTGGTGATAATTGAACCGCAAGCCGAGTTCACCCAATATTTTTCCTTTGGTGTAAAAGGGTTGGCATTCACCAAGTTGTGTTAAAGTTGAATTGCTGCTTCTGAGAGGATTTTTGACTAAAGAATCACTTGACGAGAGAAATTTAGAAGAGTTTAGAGGTTTACTCCTGAGGGGAATCGAACCTCAGCATCGGCGCTCCCAATTGAGCTCATTCATGGTAAGCCTATTCTTCCTTCTGCTTGGATGTGGTGGAGTTCATATTTCTGAGAAAGAAGAGATGAATAGAGAAGGATTGCTCTATATTTGTCACGATTATATAATCTGAATGCGAATTTTGAAAAACTTTTGAAAACTTTACTAAAAGAATAGATAAAATAAAAGAAGTAATGAATTGCCAAGAAACAAATACGGAAATAACAAGTAGTACGGAAATACGGAAATAAAGTAATTGCAGAAATAATTGCAAAAAAATAAATAAATAATTAGAATATAAAAATTCAAAATAAAATTTGAATAAAAAATAATGATAATTTATAATGTGAAATGATAGAATAATAATTATATAAAAATGGAAATGTAGAATGGTTCAATGAGTAGTAATCTTAGTTGGGAGCGCCTATCTTCAGGTTTCCTCAGGTAGCGATAAACATGTCTTGCAAAATTGAGAGTAATACTGGCAATAGAATAGAATACTGGATGGTGGTACTTCTAATGTCAGATGATTCTTTGGTAATAATCAGTCTGAATAAGTAAGTGCAATAAGAAATGGTACACTTCAAGAAACAAAGCATAAAATATAAAACGCTGCTATTGAATGAAAGTTTAACTAGAGCAAAAAATCTCGCAGTCTTCTTCTTCTTCATCATTCAAAGTACCACTATGCATGCACCAATTAATCCAATCCATTTTTTGCGAATTTTGGATTTGTGGTTTACAATGCTACATAATGTTGTAATGCATTTTACTCGAATAAGTCATTATAGGGATCAAAAGAGTTAAAAGAAATCTTTGGCAAATATTGGTCAAGAAATGTCCGAATGAAATAAAATTCCTGCGAAAATATTTCGGTGCAATTCGTGTTGTAAAATGTTTTCAGTGGTGATAAATTAACAAAGGACTTAATAGATTCTTCCCATGAACGAAGAGAATTCTTTAGTATCCTCAAACATCTCCACAGTATCTCCCTAGTTACCACCTTTTCGCACTTCTCCAATCCCTATTATTCTCGCTTAAGTCAAACTCCTCATTAATCCTCATTAATTCTTTTAATATCGTCAGTTCCTACCTTATTGCGATTTTATGATAATTCAAATTGTTAAGTATGGAAACTGGTTTGGAGAACGAGAGTCAGCAAGATTGATACCAAACGATTAGAACTAGGTACAAATATACAAATATAATATTACATAATGGTACTCAAAAGAACAATTATTGAAATGTAACAAAAGAGTACAAAAGTATGACGGGTTTTAAAAGAATATTGGATCTGAAGTTACCAGAGAAATGTGGGTTGTTTCATTATATTGGGGTTTCAATAGCATTACTTGATCGAACTAGAGACGAGTCGCCAGCACCGCGTGGACTTGACTTTTTACGACAGGTTTGCCCGCAGGAGCATGAATCAAGTCAAGCTCTGCAAATTCATATAATTTTGTTACATAAAACAATCGTTTATCCACATCCGCAATGCAAACAAGGCCAGCTTTATGGCAAAACAATCAGATTAACTGAGAGTTTATAAAAATCCATTTTTTCTTCGCCCATTAAATCCTAGCCCCTCAATTAACTGTAAATCTGAACTATACTTTTATATTCTTGATCAAATTGAAATTAAAAGAATTAAACAAAATCTGAAATTTTAAGTATTTTTATTTAGTCATAGAAACTTGAATTATATTAATTATCATAAATTTCAATGTTATCAGAATTAATGGACTGAAGTTAAGTAAACCGATTCACAAGGCCAATGACCTCTCAACCTCATTTTCTTCGCTATAATCATTAACCGTTAAGTTACCAAGTTCCCTTAAGATTGGGGGATACAAATTTATTTTTAGGCCTAATAAGCTCATTAAAAATTTCTCTAAAATTAAACTATTTTCGGTGGTTCAGATATTCAAATGGATTATTTTTACTTTATCATTTATAAGCTCTAGGCTTTATTACTTTATCATTCATCATTTATGAGCTCTAGGCTTTATTACTTTATCATTTATCATTTATAAGCTCTAGGCTTTATTTGTTTTAGTTCTTGCTTTTTTTTATTAGCGTTAATCTGGATTTATATTCTGTTTGGTTTGGTTAAATTGGTTCTTATTTATTTCTTTTTATGAACGAAAAAGCCAGCGAATTTAATTCATCGCTATGAATTCGTTGAATTTTATGATTTTCGCTTATCAAGAAAAAAAAAGAAAAATTTAGCACATGTTGGAAAGTTTTTATTTTGTATTTTTGAAAAATTTCCTAAATTTCATTTGTTTCTTCATAACTGCATGATTCATGACTTCTAACAAACAGAAATCAATCATCCACGAAGTGGAGGCACGATAGCCGAATGGTTAATAATTTACATTACCGTATTGAGAGAATCAATTGTTCATCGCTTGCCTTTGATAAGAATAAATCACTTATTCTGCGTGGTGCTGGCTAGCTACGCTCATCTTGACTTTTATCATTTCTTGGCAAAACTCTTGATGGTACTAACTACAAGAGGGTACCAGAAGTGATGGGCGTTTATTTTTTACTTCTTCTAATGTCTCTCACCATTATTGATCAAGCTGGCTCCGCTGGTCATTAAGGTAAGATATAAGATATTTCCAAGCAGTTTCATCCAATGTCATCGCTAATAGTAATAGAAGCCATTATTTCTTCGACCGCCCAAGCCCAAATATCGCTGGTCCACCTATATGTTCAAAATTTCTCTTGACTGTGCTTATTTTTTACTTATTTAGGAAATGCTATGATCGTATAATCATTTATACAGCTATATACATGAGCGTAAACAATTTTTCCATAAGATACTATGTTTACTCTAATAAAGCAATTATAGTGATATATGAACAATTTGTGAACTTGAGGAAAAACCCTCATTTCAGTAATCTCATTCAGTTATATTATTAGAAAAAACTATTAATTCACTAATTCACTAGAATTTTCGTGTAGTCGTATTTTTCCATACTCGTGTTTTATTTTACCTATTTAAAAAAATAATTTGAGCGAGAGAGCTGCAGATTTCAAGGATGAATTTACAGGTTTAACAAAGCTATTATAGGAATCCACAAAAAAGGACCATTAAGAACGATTAAAATAAGTCATAGTCGATGAATGAATTTATTCCAAAGAAATGTGTAAACTCCATGTTTTATACCATGCATTATGTTTTCACAGGCTGCGATAAATGTCGTATTTAAGGAATTTCTAAATTTAGATTTAGTCAAAAATTCCTTAAATTAATATAAATAATTGCTCACTAAAATGATATAGCGTTTCTTAATCTGAAAAGTACTCAAAAAAATTTTAAATTTCATGCACAATTTTTAAGCCCATAAATAAACCAGAAATTGGCTTGATAGCGTCATTCTTGCAAGACATATTGCTTGAGCAGATAGCTTATCACTAGTCTGCTTATGCTCTTTATGAATATAGGATAGCTATAGACGAAAAATGCAACTGAACCAGTATTGTTTGCATCATTTCAGCTTCGAATGACTCTATTAGCGACTTATTCTAATAATGATAGTGATAATAATCATTAGGGAATAGGCAATATCGATGGATTGCTAAGATCAATCTGATTTTCATTTTATATCTTTAATTTGAGATTCTCATTTGGAGGACATGTTGATGTTGCAGAAATAAACTTATCTTTCAAAAATCTTGGTGATACTGGCGACTCCTGTACTTCAGTCGCCAAGAAAATCTCTAACAAAATTTATCTCGGCAGACAAGCCAGTAGAGCGAGCCTAAGCCAGAAATGGTTTGAATTCTTAGAACAAAAAATTTGGGACATATCATGAAAAGTCTCACTCACTCACTTAACCACATCAATATAATTAAAAGGACCGAAGTAACCAGTTTTAATCATCTTTTTTCACCATTTTTAAATTCCCAGTTTGTATTCACTGTACAAATGTTTTTTTTATTTTGAATTTAATAGTTGGTTTAAAAAATTGTAATTTTTTTTATTTTGAATTTAATAGTTGGTTTAAAAAATTGTAATTATAATTGTAATTGTAGTTTTTAGTGAAAAAGCGGACGAAATGCTGTCCTCTATTTTGGTCGTCCTTTTTGCCTCATCTGCTTCGGCTCAAGAGAATATCTGTATTGAGGTAATTTAACTTAATTTCCTTTAATTTGTCTCAATTAAGCACTTGCAAATTTCAAACATTTTCAAATTTCTTACAAACATTTTTTTTCGAATCAATTTCAAAATATCATTAATCCATATGACCATCCACAACTAATTCCATGAAATATTCAAGAAAGAATGAAGAATGAAGATTTATCAGTTATCACTTGCCCCAACATACTCTCCGCGTTCTCTAGATTTAGAATTATTATTATGACACGATTTGTTTGATATTGAAATAGAATCCATTCGAAATATAAAAGAGTAGATATAAGAATTTATTACTCGACCCTCCACTGGCCATGGGGATCCTTTTGCCAAGCAGAGCTAACTAGGAATAGAAATAGAGGGGTCCAAGTTCCACTAGATTAATGAGAAGTTAATTAGAACGAATCGTGCACACTATACTTCATTAGCGTAAAAACAACGTACCACTTGACCATCTGCGCCTGTGTACCTTACCTGGATATCTTAAATAAAAGCCTGTGCTGCTGTAAAAATTTTTTTATACGTATAATGATTTTCTCTTTCTTATTTATTTACCTATATTATCGATATCCATTACTCTAATCCATTAATCATTAATATTTGATCAGTTTAATCATTAATTTTTTTGTTTTCGAGAAACTATGAAAGAAACTATTTTGTATAATAAGACTTCTTCTTTGCAATATTTATTTAGCTCAAATTTTTTAGGCCATTAAATTTGTGTTTAAATATTTAATTTTTGCTGTAGTGTGCATCGATAAATTTGAAGAACCGCTGGCCATTAACAGGTTTCTCACAAATACTTAGAGATGGATCTTTCTCGACAACATGTGCCTCAGGTGCTGATACTGATCACTCAGTCCGCTGCACTGGACCATGTATGACTTACATATTTGAAGATCCAGATATTGAAGGAGATTCAACAAATAGTTGGTTCTTAGGCATTTTTTGTAAAAAAATTTTTTTATTTTGACACTTGAAATTTTATCTTGCTTCTCTCTTCTTACTTTTACTCTTATGTTCCTTTTAAAATACTAATTAATTGTAATTTATCGTTATTATGCGAAAAATGATCCAAAAATTATTATTTAACAATGTAAATTTGAGAGAAAAGTGAAAATTTGAATTCTTCGATGCCAATTATCCAATCCATTCAGCGCTAGGATTACCATTAGATTATAACCAAATCCACAGGAATATCTGACTTTACCACAAAACAATATTTTCAGCAATAGAACGTATGGAATTATTCATGTCCCTTATATTCATTTACTTCTGAGTTTTTACTAATCTGCTTGCGTTCATCCACATGCGGCTTAATCCACATTACTAGCGATAGAATGGCCATGGATAAGCCATTGTATTTTCGATTTCTCTTTCTTAATGAAAGTAAAATTTGCCATTTAAGTTGGAATCTCCACTTCAATTTCTTTCTCATATAATTCTCCTCCTTAATAATCATTGGGTCAGCCAAACCAGAATTAATGGGTAAAATTTATTATGCAGAGATAATGGTAGTTCGAGGATGTCAGCAGCGTTTATTAAATATCCATACAGAGTATAGCGAATCATTGGCTGTAAGATCATACTGCGAATATGATCGAGATTTCCCTCGACCAAATTCACAAGGGAAAATTGTCTTCATCAAAATGCTTGTTGATTTTTGTGAAGGGTAAATATTTATTTAATGAAACATTAAATTTCAAACATCCCAGTTTTATGATTTTTAAAGAAATTTATTTGCCTACGATTTCGCTATACGGGCATTTCTTTAAAAACTTTCAAGAGCATGATAAATTTCTGGGAATTTCTGAAATTTTTTTCTCAGTTTTTCTTTTTTTTCAGTTCTAATTCCAACAATTTTAGGAATTCATGTAACTCAAAAATAAAGGATTTTCAAGATTCAGCTCAATGCTTATCGCAAGTACCACAATGCAAGTATTTTTATTAATTAAAATATGCAAATCCTGGAAAAAAAGCGAAATTTTTTTTATTTTTTATTTTGGATTAAGCAGAATAATAGCTCCTGCAAATAAAAATTTTAATGAAAAGATTAAAATAGATAAAACAAATTAAAGTTATTTACTACTAAATATTAGGTTGAAGATATGTTTATATGGATATATTTCAGATTTATTTTCAAAATAGTAATGGTGCTACCAATAGGTAACTTAAATTGTAATATGTGAATATTTTCAAAACTATCGGAAAGTGGTCTGCCATTCTTTTTAACTGGTCTAATTAACTGGTTTTAGAATAATTTTTTTCTGGATTGTTCTTCAGATTTTCATTTCTTTTTAGCTCCGATAGAGTGTTATTTTTGCGAATCAGATGGTGAAAATTGTCATTACGCGCATGAACAATGCTATAAAAGATATTGCTACAAAAGTATTTTCGATATAAAAGGTTATTTTGAAGAAATACAAAAACATTATCAAGAATGGTGAATTCTTTGCCAATCGAAGAAATATATGTCATTCCAAATTTCATTGATGTATATCCATTGTCGTAACCAATCTTTTAATTCATTCACACCGAGCGAAGTAATTCATAAAAAAGAAATATTGCTGATAAATCGACAAAATTCATACATTCCTTGGAACTTCTTGTGTGCTGGTTCCATAGACCTTGCAATATATAAGGCTTATTTATTAGAATGATAGAAGACACGGGATTTCTTGACAAATATTTGAAGTCGATATTACAGGGACGCAAAGTACCCGTAAAACTTGCGCAGATTTTAATCCATTTGGAATGCATTCAGGATGTTCAACATCACTTGTACAACTTGTGCCAGGAAATTCGCTAAAGGTCACTGGAACAATAACTCAATGTTTTTGCAATGATAAAAAATACTGTAACGGTACGGCGGGAATTTCCACGATCAATTTACTGCTATACATTTTCATTACGCTGATTATTTGTGCATTTTCATTTTAATCGCTAATTTTTTTAAATCGAAAATCAACAAAGACCTGGATTATATGGGAAAATTTGACTGAATAAACATTGAATATCGAGGTTAACAAAGTAATTTCTAAAATTTTTATTTTTATACCCCTTATTCAAATATTCAAATAACAACATGTTCAAAATTGGGCCTCCATAATAGCTTCAGATTGATTGTGAATTAATAAATGGCTAGCGTTGAATGATATTCCATAGCTAATTTTCTGATATGATATGATATTTTCCATCTCCAAATTCATCTTTTCATTAAACATGTACTCCATTATCATTTTATTATATATACTTTCATTATAGCTTGTATAGGTGCAAATTCAAACACATCATTGCTGCTTCACATTATTTTAAAGCAAGTAGAGTAAACTTTTCTTCTTTCTTTCTGTAGCATTCCCTACCTCTGGTTTGATAATCTCTATTTTCTGTTACCTTCTACAGAGAGTTTTATACAAATAGAAATAAAAGAGAGACTCTACATCCGTTTAAATTTTTCTATTGTAATGACCTGTATATTCTTATTAAGAAATATGGATCAAACCAATGCTTGACCCACAGCAACAAAACACTAGAACTTGCCCTCTATGTTTTATTGGATAGATTTGTACAACAGATCAAGAAAAAAAGTAAAATGCATAGCATATTTTTCACAAAAAAATTTGAGAAATCCATGCGTGAATTTTCAACGAAACCGGACTAGAAATGAATTTTGAGGTAGAGTAGACGAATTTTGAAAGAGAAGTATTGAAATGCTGAATATTTAGGATAATCGCAGTTCCAATGGCCTGATATAGACCATTGGAAATCGGCAGAATTTTAAGAGAGGTCAATGTAACTCGAAGAGTCCGCTGTGGATCAATAGGCTGGTAAAATTGTATTTATAATCGTATTGTATTTTTTTATAATTTCATATAAATTTCAAATGCTAATAATCATTTAAAACTTTGTTTAATTGATTTGGTTAATTAAAATTTCTCTATAACATTTACGTGGAAGTGCTATCGGCTATCAAGAAATGGAATCGGCTATCGGCTATCGCCAGCTTCTCGCAAGTTAATCCTCGTAAGAACAAGAGAAATGGAATTTGAAGATTGGTTATATGATCGATTTTTATAATCTGTGTAATTTTTGTACTATTAGCACGATATAATATATAAAATCTTGGAGACTACTATATTCTAAGAGGGCCCATTGAAAAGGTCTTTTTTATAGGACTCAATGCGATAAAAATTGGAGACTTCTGCTGCAGAAAATGATATGTTACAGGTGCTAACTGAGAGTTCGGCTCCTACCGCCAACAAGAATGGGCAGAATAAATTGAGTGATCCCAACTGTGCTGCTGTGATTCTTTGAAAATTCGTACTATCATCCAGTTAAACGCCTAAGAAATAAGAAAGGTTGTGTACTTCACTGCTGACCATTTATTTTATGCGAAGTACAAATGAAGTAAAATAAATGACATTTAAAGAACCAATTTAGAATTGCAAGATATTCGCCGATAAGCAGTAAATAATTTTTGCAAGTTTAGCCTTGAATTGATCGTAGAAGGTTTAACGACAAATAACACAGAATGCTTCCTCTGTGAACGATTAATGCTTGTGAACGCTGTTAACGATTACCGATTAATGAATGAAAAAATTGTTTCAATTTTCGGTGAATCCGATTTCACATTTAATAAAATATTTGGATTTTTTCTAAGAAAAATATTATAATAAATGCAGTAAAATGGTGTAAAATCGAATATGCTAAGTGCTTGAAGTATTCTATTTGTCTTCGCACTTGAACCTTCTTGAGGTTACCTTTTGTCCATTATTCGCCTTTATTTGTTCTCACTGTCCACGTTCACTTTCTTTCTCAATCACCGGTCAACCAATAATTTTCTTCTCTTGGGCATTTCTATTCATACATGCCTTCAATTCCCCTTATTCACTGATTTCATATTTAATTCATGATCAATTCTTGAAATTCTTCCACAAAAATGATACAAGCACATGAACCAAACTTTGTCGGCGCCAATTCAGGGAATGACACATATTGGTACCAAGCGCGAATGGAGATTATCAGTTAATTTGAACTAATTGATAGGTTGAATACTAGGGTAGTAGTGGTGGTTTCTGCTTCGTCTCGCTATTATTTGAAGTATATAAATCTGCCATTAAAAATAAAAGCGAGGCAGTATTGTGATTCCACGTACAATTCAATCTCCGAAGCAAAAAAACCTGAAATGATGAGTGATATTAGAAGAATAAGAACTGATAACTCTTTAAAAGATATGAAATCGATTTACTGAATGACCCATAAAAACCTTCAAATTTCTGCTTGGATTATTTTTTTCAATTAATTACGAGTTTAAACTTGTATTATTTTAGTCTCGTATCTGTTTATGTAAACGAAAGTTAGATCGCTCAATAATTTAATTGAAATTCACATCGGCTTTACATGACTTCTCGCATTTTATTCATTTAATTTCTTCATCCAACAGCTTGTGGTTTTATCGCTGCTACAGCCAAGTTAGGGACTTTCTCAGAGATAAAACTTCAAATAGGTATTTTTGACGCCACAACTTCCGAATGTCGCCTTTAATTATACGGAGCAGCAATCCGATGGCTTAATCAACGCTCTATTGTCTTATTTCTATATTTTTTCGTTATTTTTTCACCCTTAAAGAGTGCAAATTTAATATGTCTTGGATTTAGTTATGCCTTTTATAAATAAAACTTGTTTCTGCGAATTGTTTGCTACTAAAAATTTTATATATTTTATATGGTAAATAACATTTTAAAATTTAACTAGAATATCTCTTTTTCTTTCTGAAATATTCGCATTTTTAAATTTATTCGATTTTTTTAAGTTTTTATTTTCATTTTCTGCGAATTAATATTAATTAATCAATTATTTTGAAATAATTTGTCAGAAATATGGATTAATTTTTGCTTAAATTTATATTTATTGTTTAAATAATTACAATGGCAAATTCCCATCTGTTATTTACTCAGAATAATTACCTTATATAATCACATTTGTTACTATTCAACATGTAAGCTTTTTGTGAAGGCTTTGAAACTTAATATAACATAGTTGTATGATCGCTTTGCTCAAAACCAAATTGACAGCGCTTAAAATTAAAACATTAGAAAGGCCAAAGAAGCAAGAAAGCGAGTAGTTGTTATTCAGATTGTCGACTTGAGCATCAAGGTTCAACGTTCTGTCCAACACGAATAAAGCGCCAAGGTCGTAATTAAGGGGTTAAATCTTTGCTAAATTTCATAGCAAAACGATAGTATTGCGGAACTTTCTTTCTAAATCACTTCATAATAGCTGCGAAATTTTTTTTATTGTCTTTTATTTTTTAAAATTTTTGGTCTGTTATCAGCCTTCTGTGATATCCTATGATAAGCAATTGCTAAAAACTTTTATAAAACTTTTATTTTATAAAAAAAAGTTAACAAGAGATGTTGAATGAATGGTGTATTAGTGCGAGGTTTATCTTGTGCAAAAGTTAGCAAAGCTCACGTCATTAGATTTAGAATATCTTTTAATCCATTTGTAAATAACCAGTTTTTTGCAGTGGTAGTGTTTATCAAATATTAATCAATTAATTAAAACCAATAAGTGGAAATGTTGGATTAATGAAATGGTTTTTATGATTATAAGTTGGTTGAACTTTTTTTATTTGTTGGATTTGTTTAATTTAGAAAAGTATAACAACACAAGATAAGGTCCACGAATTCAGTGCCTCATTATTTTGGACTAAAAATTCATTATATGAATTTAACGAGCGATATTCTGTAGAAAAAATTAGGAATGCACATAGTTCTTTTCTTTTTTCATCCTTTTTCTATAATAAATAATATAATTTGAACCAAAGTGTTTTTTATGATACTTGCAGATAACATTCCATTTTAAATTCAGTCTTATTGTATTTATTTGAATCTGGTATCATTCTTGGCATAAAGAATTGATTTACCACCATAAATTTTTTCGGTATGAGGAAGAAAAAGATGTGAGATTATATGAAGTGAATATATGAAAGAGGAAGAGGATTTGAATAGCTGTAAAAATTCTGGATGGATTTGGCAGATCTTGCATTCCCAAATTTTGGTCTCAAAATTCGCGATAATACTGTCTTTTTGGATTAGTTTTTTGCGAAAACAGGAAATGTTAATGTTGTTTAGAAGCGCAAAATTTTACTATTCATTGAATCAATTTTTCATGTCTTTAATTTCGAAATAAATAAGTAACAAATGAGGAAGTAAGTAGTTAACCCATTTCTGTTTAGACTTCTTCTGTACGATTAGCGATTAAATATAAGTGGATTGTCTAATTGTACGGATTTTCTAATGTTTTTAATGTCAGGTTCAACTTCTGTCGTCATTCGAAATTCTATCGAAATTTATACAAAATTGTGTGATGCTCGACGCGATTCGAAGCAGCCATACTACTCATCCGAACTTACAAAATAAAATCCCAATATTACAATTTAAGGACAAATTGAAAATAAACCAATAAGATTACAATAATTTTTTTTTTTCACATCGACTGAAAATAGGTGATTTTCAGTTGATAAATAATAATCTGATGAAATTCACGCCACATATACTTCATGCATCTATAATATCTGTTTAAAAACCTTAGCCTTAAAAATAAATTTTTAAAAATTAGAAAGAAACGTAATATATTCAAAAATTCTTAAAGTAAAGAGAAATAAAAGAGCGAAAAACTTTAAAAATAAAAAAACAAATTGCGAATCTTAACTTTTTTTATCCATTATCCATTACTAGTTGGATTCGCTCCTCTGGCTTGCACTAGACAAATAAACCAGATAGGCTATTGGCTAAAACGATGAGTCAGCATAATCCGGCGGTTGGTCAGGATTGCAAAAAAATGTTCAAGAGATATGGTCTATTCTTTTTATTAAGTTTGGATACACGATCTACCGGACTGCTCTTGCCGGGAAGAGAACTTCACCGTTAGCATTC